GGCTGTGACCGACTTCTGCAGGGAGCTATGGCCTTGCTCTCTGCAAGCCGTTCTCCAACACCTTCTGAAAAGAGAATGATCAGAAATACAGCTCTCTGTTGTGCACATTCTTTCCCTCTAATAAATACTATTCTGAAAGGATACAGATATGACCAGGGACAGCTGCTCCCAGATCCCGGTTCCTTCAAATTCAGGAACAGGTTTCTCAAACTCCAACTTTCATCACTGAGGACAGCATTCTCCATTATAAAACCAAACCCAAAATAAGCTTACTTAGTAAAATTTTCTCTTCTCTCTACCACGGCACTGACAGCTGAACAGCCATTTCAGTGCAGATGGTGATCAAAGGAAGGTCTGTAGGCATCCCTCTGCACCTAGGAGTCTTGGAAGCAGCTCCTCAGCGCTGCAGTGCATGGATCTGCTTTATTATAGCATGAGGTCTCACCATTCCACACCTTAATGTGATGATATTTCACTACTGTAACCTCGTAACAGGTAAAAGGGGGGGGATGTTATTTCTTTTATTTTTATGGAATGGATGGAGGATCATATACAACCAAGGATGACCAGAAATGAGTCTGTTAAGAGAGCTTTCTAATTATGTTTCACATTTTCCATTCATTCACTGCATGAAATATAGAAATCGTCCTGAAGCATGCTTTTTCTCTCCAGGATTCCCCTTCGATATGAACACCTTAACAACCAGACAAGAAGTGACATCTGCTGCCCCTTCAAAAGGGGGAGGCAAACACTGCATCCACCCCAAACCAGATAATAAATCAGGATGCTCTCTAAGGAGATGGGAGAAGAACGTGAATCTTCCTATTAATGCTAGTTTATTGATTAAGGAGTCAGGAGAGCACTGCAAGGTTTTCTGGCTTTGCTTTTAGAAAATGTAATGACTGTTCTCAAAACCACTGTGCATCACACCCATCCTTGCAGTTTTATCAAGTGCAGATTAAGAAGTGAGTTTAGATAAAGACACTAATGGGGCCAAAGCAGAATAATTCCTAACCTCTGATTTCAAGTGGCTTTCAGCATGAATGTACGTTTCAGTTGCATCAAGGCTGGGACAGCTCTGGGCATGTACAAACATGCAAATCTAGGCACCCACCAAACTACAAAGTAAAATGAAAAAAAAAAAAAGAAAAAAGAAAAAAGAACTCCAAGTCTGTGTGAAAGCTCATAAAGAATTTTCAGAATATTGTTTTGAGGCTTGCTGACCTAAATTCTGCCCATTTCTATGTCCACATCTTTCTACAGGATCTCAGCCTGCACAGCAGTCTGAGACATAAAGGATTATCTCCAGGCTGCCTAAACCCTCCAGCTAAGATCTGAACCCTACCGACCTCTCAGAAACAGAGCAGAGAGCACTGACACCAGACAGCCATCCATACTGGAATAGTTAAGTTCAGATGGATCAGTACTAGTTTTCAACGGTTTTCAGGGAAGATTCTCAGGCAATGCAATCCGTATCACCCAGCAGGCCAGGATTATTTTTTTTTTTTTTTACTTTCTTTCCTTAATTTTCTGTAATTTTCTAACAAACTTTTCTCTCTTCTTTCCTCTCCAACAAAAAAAAAGAAAAAAAGAAAAAAAAAAAGACATAGAAGGGAGAGCTTGTCAGTTTCAGGAAATGGTTCGTTAAGTGAGGTCTAATCTTTATCTCTTTATAGAGGCTGGAATATTGCCATCTTCCTTGGAGCTACTGACTCCAATAATAGACAGAGCTTCACCTTCATGGTTTTCGTCAGCCAAAAAAAAAAAAAGGATTTGGACTCGACTTTTTTTACACTTTATGCAGACTTGTGTGTAGAGTCTGTCATACACAAGGCCTGAAAAAGGTTATTGGAGCCTCCTGACAAAAAATAACCACTGTTTGTGTATACAAACTAAGTCTTCACTGCCTATTGTTGATCTAAGATGATAAGAATTGATCATCTTTGCATTCAGTTGCTTAAATCCTGTTTCAGGATCTATAAAACTTGTAATATTTCACTGAAGGACAGTTCATTTGAAAAACCAAAAACTTAACTCCCCAAAATGAACTAATATTTACATCTAACTGAACATCTGAAAATAGCTGCGACATACCTCTTCTAGTTACACTTCATAGCATGTTCTCCAATTAAATAAAAGCAGATTATTTTTTTAAATATTTGATTTCGACGCAGAGGCTTCACCGATGGATGTCAGGGTTTGCAGGAAAGCCCAGGCGTAAGGCTGGCAAAAGGCAGCACAGGCAGTTCACCCCGTTTGCCACAAGATGGCACGAAACATATAAATTACTAGGACAAAAATAAAATCGATAGCATGCTATTAGAAATACTGGGGGGGGGGGAAGCTGCAGAAACTGAACGCATGTGTGACTTCTGGCAGGATGTGGGAAACGCATGAATACACGCACATACATGATTATTCTGCAGAACTGTCAATCTAAAGTTTGTTATTCATGACACACGCTTAACCAAATTGTGTCAGCCTGTTCAGTGCCCCAGGTTTAAATTAATATAACCAATATATAACGGTGTGGTGATCTAGAGGGCGGCTGGAACAAGCCGGCGTGGGGCCAGAAAGAAGAGCAGCAAAGAGACGGTGGGTGGCGATTTTGGTGGGAAACGGGCCCAGAAAATTCCGGACAACCTGGGTAGGAGGAGGTGGGCGGCCAGCAAGAAGAAGGTCTGAGCAGCGGGCACCCACCCAGACAGGCAGGAAAGCAAGCACAAGTGAGCAAAAGGCAGATTTATAGGGAAATTTTTGTATTTATACATATATATTATGCAACAGGCGAAGATACAGACTGTTTCACTTGCGTGCTAATTTCTGGGCCGTTCTGGTGAACTCAAAAAAGCTCTTTTCTGAACTCATCAGGTCTAAAAGTTATCTGCTAGAGATGAGCTTCCTATCTGACCTGGATCTGAGATTTCAAGAAACCAAATACTTCCAGATTCGTACCAAAATCTCGTGATTTGGGAGTTTATAGCTGTGCTCACGATAACCAACAGGATGCGTCACAGGAAAAGCTGTTCCAAATCCAGTCTCCTTGCCCAAAGGACAGGGAGGTCAAGGGCTGTGGGAAGGGCACTCACGATTTAGGGAAGAGATAATAGGGATGAATTTAAAAAAAAAAAAAAAAAAAAAACAGAGGAAAGTTTCCTGACCGGGGCACTAGGAAAAAGAGACTTATTATTTCAAACAAGAGCAGATCTCAGCTCAGACGCTTTGGGTGCATATAGGTACTCAGCACAGAATACGAATATGAATATTAAATTGATTTTATTTTTTTTTCCCACCAAGCTTTAACAGAAATTTCGAATTAGCCTTGAAAATTGGGTCAACTTTCATGTAAATCAGTGCATCTGATCGCTCAGGATATTTTGTAATTAACTCAGAACAACGGCATAGCAATATATGGAAATTAGAGAGCTTCAAAGATTGTGGGATTTTGATTGCATGGGCATTCAAATGTCCCACTAATTTCAGCAGACTCAGTTCTATGTGTCTGGAAAAACATCCAGTGAGGCTCGACCATGCCTGCAGCTCTCAAAAGCTGCTCCAAATTGCAGCTGGCAATAGAAATTAGATTTGGTGGTGGTGTTTTCCACATGCCCAGTATGCCTTAAGAAGCAGGGAACGCATCTGCTGCGTTTGCCTCCAGACATTGGTCCAGGAACAGGAAAGAGCTGTCTGCTGCTCAGTGTGACGCCTGGTCAGGACTCGTAACTGTCTGCCGACTGGCAAAAGCTGGAGTCCTAGAAGATGACCCACAAGCTCACAAACGGTGTGATCTCCTGAATGGCATTACCCGCATGAAAACGCTCCGCACACATCCCACCTCCCGGCAGCGGCTGTAGCATTCTCGGGCTGTGCCTCCAGAAATGGGTCAGCAAAAGATGGGACTCTTAGGGAGAGTGGAGGCAGGTTAGGGCTAAAGGTCTGCAGATAATACATGGGGAGAGTTTAGAGCAGCTTAGCAATGTATTTTATCGTTCTCCAACAAACTGCAAATGGGCAATGCAATCAATATACGAAACACATCTCTTGTAGCAGCACTGGCGTGGCCAGCAGGGACAGGGAAGGGATCTGAGCCCTGGGCTCGGCACTGGGGAGGCCGCCCCTCGCTGAGGGGGTTCAGTTCTGGGCCCCTCACCCCAAAAAGGCCATTGAGTGACTCGAGCGTGGCCAGAGAAGGGCAACGGAGCTGGGGCAGGGTCTGGAGCACAGGTCTGCTGGGGAGCGGCTGGGGGAACTGGGGGGGTTCAGTCTGGAGAAGAGGAGGCTGAGGGGAGACCTCCTGGCCCTCGGCAACTCCCTGCCAGGAGGGGGCAGAGAGGGGGGATGAGTCTCTGGAGCCAAGGCCCCAGCGCCAGGCCCCGAGCTGTCTCTTTCAAGCTGCCCAGGGCAGGGTCAGGCTGGCTCTGAGGAAGGATTTCTGTGCAGAAGGG